TTATTCTTCTTATGCCTTACCCTGTATATTCTTCTGAAATAATAAACCTTAATAATTCTGAAAATTATCAAAATCAAAGTATTTTACAGAAGTTCAATTGTTGCCTCAAAATGATAATTATTTAATAAGCTACCGTCTGAGGTTTTAACCTCAGACGGTAGCTTATTAAATAATTTAATGCATATATGTATATGAAGGACATTTTTCTGTTAATGACAGTCTATGCCGTGGATAGTCCATATCTAGTGTTCTAGTTCCATATTTGTGGATTTTGGTTGTTTGAAAATACTCTTGGTATTTAAAAAGAAACATAAGGCACTCATGTACACAGCATACACTGTCATAATTCCCATTCTCCTGAAAGTGTTCCTACAACTTTCAGTATTTTTCATTTTTTGAATTATTCTAATGACTCGTTTCTGACTAACAAAGACATTCTGTATCCCGCCCCCTCTGCCCCAAAAAATGATACCATACCTTAAGATGAAGTCAAAGTTGACAAAATACAGAATTGTCAGTGTTTTTAAATCCATATACCTGCCAACAACCCTAATACAATAGCAGACAGAGTTTAACTTTTTTTACCACGTTCTGAATGTGAAATGACCAATCTAAAAATTCGTTAATGTACACACCTAAAAGTTTTATACTATTTGAAATTTCAGTGTTTTCGTCACTGATGTAACTAGGTATTTTTATTTTGGAACCTCTTATCCTGAACAGCATTAATTTGTTTTGTTTTGGTCCAAAATCAGTTTGTTCAAAACCACTCAACGACTTTTTGTAGGAATACATTTGCATCTGTTAAAATATCATTTAAGTTTTTATGTCTAGTAATAAGAGTCGTATCATCTGCGTATTTCACAATAGCCTGATTTGCCGTACTGGTTAGCATATTAAGGTCATTGACAAATATGATAAATAGCAGTGGTCCCAAAATACTTCCCTATGCTATGCCGATGTTTGTGGGCAACTGTGTCGATCGAAAGATTTCTCTGTCTTTCGTAATAACCACCATCTGAGATCTGTCAAACAAGAACGATGCCAGCCAGTTTTTTTGTGGAACTCCTTATACCTTATGGTTCTAATTTTCTTATAAGTATCTATTTTCTTCATTTTTTTTTGATGCAGCAGTGGTTTTTTTTGTTCGTCTCTAACGCAGTTTTAATAAGACGTATCTCTTCGCGAGTAAGAGCATACGCCGGCCTACAAACGGATCTTTTATTACAAGTAATGATATAGACAGATATAGTAAAACGCGCATTGCTAAATTAATACTAATCGCGCGTCACCAGCGGGTTTTCATGCCTTGCCAGGTACTCCCTGGCAGCAGCTTTAACTCCCTAGCTCTTTCAAATAAGATCCGCCCACCGACCGTGGTACATATTGTTTGTCGAGCAAGTATTTTAAAATAATATTATCCTTATCTAGTGTATATGCAGGCATTTTTGGCCAACACGAACCGCTGCGCTGTAAGGAAACAGTAAAAAATAACAAATAAATAGAATGTCTAGAGAATCTAGATTTATAAGACTGAATATTATATTAATATTGCCTGTGTCCCCTGATTATGAATACTATAACAGAAGCGACTAGTTGACTAGTTTGTATTTGAAATTTTTTTTATAGATAAAGAAATAAAAAAGATTTTTTCCTAGCTGGGTTTTAGAAATTGGCTCAAAAATTGATAATTATTCTTCTTATGCTTAACACCCTGTATATCTATATATAAAATAATCAGTCTTAATAATTTTGAAAATTATCAAAATCAAAGTATTTCAAAGAAGTTCAATTTTTGCCTCAAAATTTCTTTATTATTTGCTCACTGTTTGATTTTGATGCAGCAGTTTTTATTGATTTTTTTTTATTCATTACCTTACATTTATTTTTCCACCATTTATGATACTTACCGGTCCTCTACTGGTTGACGGCTCAATATTTTTCTTGCTCACTGTTTGATTTTGATGCAGCTGTTATTTGTCTTATTATATATTGTCTTATTTTATTCATTACCTTATATTTGTTTTTACACCATTTATCTTACTTACCGGTCCTCTACTGGTAGCCGGCTCAATATTTTTTCTAGCTCACTGTTTGATTTTGATGCAGTAGTTTTTATTGTCTTTTTTTATTTGTTGTTAATATTATTGCTAATTGTGGTTGTAACAGTCAATTTCCTCGCAACGACCTCTGTGTGCTAGCTCATAAATTATCGCAAATAACTATTATTTTTGCATCATGTTTACTGTAATTTTATTGTTAAATATTATTTTATTTAAATTTTACGATTATGCAACCCGTTATACACCGCGATATTATATAGCCACAGAATTTTGTCACTGGATACCGCCCAGCATTAGAATTTTTGTCCATCTCTCTAAATCTTTGGTCATCACTTGTCCCTTGTCACTGTCAAATCAAATCAGATGTTTTTGAATTTATTTATCCTTTGTTTTGGTTATTGAAATTTTATAATTATCAGATAAAATTTCGTAGTTAAATTGGTTATTTTTGATGTGGATCGCAGTGTGCTATTCGTTCATTTAATTGTGGGAATTTGTGAGTTTGGTTCGTTCATTGACCGGATATCGAAGATGGCTGTGAAAATAATCTAGAACGTCGTTTTTTTATTTGTGCCTTTTTGTGAGTTGGACTAGTCGAGATATATAGTTCTCTATCTATATCCTGGAGGGAGATTTCCGGTTGAAATCTGATTTTGTGAAGGAAATCGAATCCTTGCATGACTTCTTGTGTATCCACCGACTGAAGAGTGTCGTCGTGAAGAACTGGCTGCCGTTTCGTGAAGCATTTCCTGTTGGTAGTTAACAGGTCTTCCTAGAGAAGGATTAAAGCTTCCGAAACATATTTGGTCGTCTCTGACCAAATATGTTTCGGAAGTTGGTCTCTGGTTGGATTTTGTTGAATTTGTATGGACCACCGACCAAATTTCCGTCAAGGGATTAAATAGCCGAATTTTCCGACCGATATTCCGATTCCACGTGCCCAAGAAGTCCCCGAATAGTTCCAGAATTCCATCCGTTCCTGTTGCCCGTGTGTAGAGTTACCCGTTGGACATCATAAACCCTCGTTGAGGATTTTTTATGTTCACCTTTTGAAGTCCTACACCTGCCTGTACATTTGCTGAAGGGCTCCAGTGACAGTACACCGAGCTGCTGTACACCGTCGTAGCAACCCTGTAGCTATACGCTGTAGCTCAGCCGGAGGAAGTTTTCAAGTACAATCGAATAGAGTAGGGCGCGGTGGGGTAAAAATGGGACATTTTACATATCTTTTTATTTTTTTCCCATTAAAAAAACCTTAAAGTAAATAAAAAAATACCTAAAGTGGGTAAAATTTCACGGAAAATTACATTATATTCACCAAATGTCATAAAAACAAGTATTTCTTTAATAAAAAAAAATAAATCTCTGTCTCATTTTTTTCCTGTCGTTGGGGCAAAAATAAGACATGCTTGGAAAAAAATGAGACAGGGTGTAAAACGAAGGTTTCCATCATATTATTCGATCTGGGGAAAGACTGATACAGGTAAGTATAAAAATAAGACACACAACATTTTGTGAATTATTAATTTGTACTGTTTTAATTTCAAAAAATGGGAAAAATCTCATAATACTGTTTAACAAAACAAGTCAAAGTAAACTAATAAGTAAATTCTACTTAAAAAATAGAACGTAGGGTAAGTATAATAAAACATTTAGCTAATTAACAGAAAACTTTTGAAAGTCTATCGGAAAAGCAAGCTTTTGGGACATTCTAGCGGTTCCTCCTTGGCAACTAGGGGAGGGTAATTTCATTACAATATCGTCTTTGTCCACATTATAATTTTCAGGCACGGTGGGAAATACAAATTTGTTCACTTGTCGACGCATATACGATACGCAGTACTCACTTCCCTTGATATTTTCTACTAACGCAACGTAATGTACCAGTTTCTTTTTTGTAGCAAACTTTATTAAAACATAGTCTCCGGAATGTATCTCATTTGAGCAGGTGTCAAATTCGTTATCTGAATTGGATTCAACTAGATCAGCTAACGTCATATCATCCACATCACTTTCGTCTTGAAGAATAATGCCTTCGGCTTCACTTTCTGAGGAAGAACTTGGAACTCGATCTATTTTTTGAATATTTTTCTTTTGTACCTTTTTTGTTTGAACTCTACCTTTTTGAATGACTTCTTTTTGTTTAATGCTTTCTAAATATTCAGCACTCGTAAGAACCGCAGAGTTTGAATTAATCTTACGTCTTGTCTTAGTCTCAGGATTTGTTTTATTGATTTTGGCAAGCAAAATTTCTTCGAACGTGGTGGACGATGAAGCTGTGCCCGCGATTGAAATATTTGATGTGGATGCCAAATTAATTTCATTTATTATCTGGTTTTCCTCGGGTTCTGTTATCTTTTCTTCTCCCTCTCTGTGTTTATCTTCTCTATTAGGTTCTTCAACTGTTTCAATTTCAGCCTCTTCGGCATTTAAATTATACATACTACTATTTAGTACAGTATCTCGTTGTGCACATTCGTTATATCTTTTTAGCTTCACTTCATTAAGTCTTTCTTTTGGGTATTTTTCCTTAGAACAGGGATACAGACCAGTAGTTTCAAACGATCGTTTTATGACATCTCGTGAAATTCCCTCATTCCATAGTTCACAGATCATATTTGCAAACTCACATTTGGTGAGCTTCCTTTGGTTTAATCTTTGCCACTCTATAAGTTTTTGATTCCATTTTAATTTTAAAGGTCCAAAACAGCATTTGTCTAATGGTTGCAAAAGGTCAGTCGCATGTGGTGGTAGTTTAAATAAGGTAATGTTATTCTGGATGGCAAGCTCTAGGTCCCTGTAGCCAAGTGAGAAACATGCCCGTCCATTATAACAAGAAGGGGTCTTTGCTGGACCATCTTGCAGAACTTTTGAAACCAAGAATTAAAAACCGCTGTTGTCATCCATCCCTTGTCGGATACAGCATAGCATGTATTTTCAATGTCTTGCGTTCCTTTCCAAGTGCTCCATAAATTTTGTCCTTGATATATATATTAAGGGCGGCAAAGAGATCTCCGTTTGCCGAAATGCAGGCCATTGTTGTAACATTTTCATTTCCGGAACCTTCGATACTCGATGAACCCTTTGTCCTATCCAAAACAAGTGGATTAGATTAAAAATAGTTTAAGTATTACAATCCTAACTTACCTATCGCTGAGACACCCTTTACTCTACCGGGATCTAAATTAAAACTAGTTTCGTCTAGATTAAATATATGTGAGGGTTTATCTTGTAATCCCAGTTTCTTAATTGTTTCCCCAAGTTTATCATAAAAGGAATAGATGATAAAGGGGTCACTGGTTGCAGTTCTTCGGCACTTTTCCAACTGTTCCATCTTTTTTTGACTTAGTCCATTCCTTTTGCAGAACGTCCGAAACCAGTCATCTCCGGGTTTTCCATTATTAAAAACGGTTTTTAAATTATTTTCATTGACGTAAGTTTGAACAACACGTTTAATTTCTTCTTTGGATACAGCAAATCCCCATTTAGCCATCACGGTGATCTTTTGGGTTAGATCAGCTTCTTGATCCACTGATAAGGCTTGCTTTCTACCTTGTTTCGACTTATTTTTGTTGTTAAGCGACCTACTAAGCTTGGACTTGTCGATTCTAAATTGTCGTGCTGCCTCTCTTACCCCAAGCTTCCCTTGTTTAACAAGATTTATGGCTTCTTCTAAGTCTTTTGCTGTATATTTTTTTAATTTAGGAACGTATGTTCTAGGCATTTTGAAAACAATTCCAGTTATCCTAGAATAATAATAAGTTACTAGTAGAAAACGCAAATTTTACCTGTCTCATTTTTACTCCAACAGGTGTCTCACATTTACCCCCACACAAGTCTCAATTTTACCCCAGAATAATTTTACGAGCGCTCGGGTCAGGTATCAAAGAAAGACTGTTGCACATGGTTCCAACGCATCACAAGACAAACACAACAATATTCCGACTTTAAACGAGTCGCTCCGACAATTTAGGCTGCCGTGGCGGGAAAAGTTAGCGCCTTTTATTTGAAAGTTTTATGAGTGTTTTTTGTGATTCCTTCAAATACATCATGTTTGATATTTTCTGTGCCATAATTGTTTAAATTTAATATAGGCATGCTCAACTTAAAAGAAGACTTAACGTTTTTACTTAATCAGAGTTTAGAAAAAGATGTTTAATAATAGAAAAAACTCACTGTCTCATTTTTACCTCAAATTTTTACTGTCTCATTTTTGCACCGCCGTGCCCTAAGACTGTACAATTTTAGTTTAGATTAGTATAATATAGATTTCATTTGTGTAAACCACCCTGGTTGTATCTAGTGTTAAGTTAGATAAGGGGGTTTGACGTCTTAGTTTTAGTATAGTTAAGAACATTTTCATTTTGCATTCATATCTAGTAATTCGTATCAATTTTAAATTTCTTAACACATTTCATTCATTTCTTTATAAACTTTTAATATTTTAATAAATTGCTTAAATATTTTTACTAGTATTATTTAAAGTCTAGTCTCATAGTTAAGTTAGAGTCACTTAAGTTTAACGTATTACAGTAATATTTGAAGTTCATGGTAGTTGCACTCAACAGTTCGAGGTTAGTGTTGAAGTCTACTTAATAGTAACATCTTTTATGCCGAGTTCATAGAGTATAATCTCGTGGCGCCCTTTTATTAATATCTTTGAACCCCGACCACCCGGCTGTTAAAAATTAAAAAGCTAGTGGCCTTTATGTAACTCATTCAGATTAAGTAAACTTTGTGTTTTATTGAACTTCAAATTAGAAAGGGCATGGCAATTTTTGGCGCCTAACGTGGGGCAATTCTTGACGCCGCAACGTGGGTAATTCTTGGCACCCAACGCTTAAGGCAATTCTTGACACTCAACGCTTAGGGCTGATTTAACATTTAGGGCTGATTTGTTGTATAATTTTTGATACCCAACCGATTTGGGACTTAGCTGTTTTATTTTGGGACCACATAAACTAACCGTAGTTTATAGTTGGGACCTGTTGAGTTTTTTTTTTGAATCGTTTTGATTTAGCTTAGTGACTTGAGTGTAACTTAGATTGTTTTTTGAGTTTATGAGACAGGGCTGTAAATATTTTTTTTATTTAATATTGAATAATATTGAATACATTTATTTTATTTGAAACTTCTCCGATATACTTTATACTTGCTCTTGGAACATTAAGACATTACCCGATTTAGACATTTTCTTGATTTTGATATTGACCGGATTTGACTATTGCATTTAATTGTATATAGTTTTTTTATGTACATTGTTGATTGATTGGTACTTTATTTACTTTGAATATTTTGATATACATTTTTATTGATTTTATTGATTTATTGTAATATAGTAAACATGAGTCGTAAAGTCGAAATTAATCGTCTCGATAGAGATGAGCTTACTTATAAGTTAGTATATAGGGGTATTAGTACTGGGACTGTTGAGGAAATGAGAGCTCGATTAGCTCTGGCAAGACAAATGGAAAAGTCAGGGGAAAGTCTACACTACCCACCTTATCCATTTAGTTTTCAAGAAGATGTCGATGCATTGACTAAGAAGTTGGATGACATGGTACAGAAAGTATCAGGCTTTGCTGATAATAGCAAAAGTGGATCATTTTTGAAACTCCAGACAAAACTGAATCATGTCTTGGATAGATTGGACCGAATGCTTTGTGCTACACCAGAAGAGTTTAGTATACGAGCACAACTAGTTGGACAAACATTCAACTTGATCATTGAGCTTAAAGATAAAGCCACAAAAGCTGATTGTCAAACTGCACCTGTACCTTTAAGCCTTTGTGTTTTACAGGATAATCAACAACCGCCGCCTATTCAGTACAATGCACCAGGACCCAGCACTTCATTTACAGCTTCAATACCACCAGCTACGCCGATGTCTAGTAGTACACCGACTGTACAGAATATTTTCTCAAATGCCAAGTTTATACTACCTCATAAATGGAATCTGAAATTTAGGGGAGATGGTAAAGGAATGTCCGTAACTGCATTCTTCGAGAGATGTGAAGAATTGAGCAGAGCCCGAAATGTGACCCCAGAAATGTTACTAGAATCTGGAATTGATCTGTTTGAAGGGAGAGCCTACGAATTTTATCAGGATTGTAGATCTGAAGTTCAGACATGGAGTGAACTTGTAGCCAGATTTAAAGACGGGTATCAACCAGTCCGATACAAGGAGAAACTTATGGAGGAGATCAAACGTAGAACACAGGGCCCAGACGAAACTATTGGCACTTATATGGCAATTATGAACAGATATTTTCATAGACTACAATGCCCGATAACCGAAGAAGTCAAACTCACCATACTTCTCCGTAATATTGCTCCTATTTATCGAAATCAACTTGGTGCTTTTGAGATATCCAGTCTAGTTCAGTTGAAGACACTCTGTAGGAGGATAGAACACCGAATCCAGACCGAAGATTATGCTCCTCCACTTAGAAAGAATCAGTCACTAGAACCAGATTTGGCGTATGTCGATATTAGTGAGGACATTGAAGAATTACATGTATCTCCACCGCAGACAAGTAATTCGAGTAACCGTCAGAGAGACGTCATATGTAATCGCTGCAAGAAGCCAGGACATAGAGCAATTGGTTGTGCAGAACCATCTAAACTGATATGCTATGGTTGTAAGAGAGAGGGCCACATCAAAAGAGACTGCAGGTTCTCGGGAAACGGAAACAGGCGCTCCTAGGTATTCGGACTAGAAGTAGCCGTGTAAAACCATCCGAAGATTTTGTACATATTTTAGATTTCGTTTTAAGCTATGCTCGTAATCATGAGAGACCTTATTTAGAAGTAGATATTTTAGGACGTAAGATTTTAGGATTATTAGACTCCGGAGCTTCACGTACATTTGTTGGACAACCAGGATGGAAGATTTTCCAGAAGTTTGGAATACAGTTGGATCCATCCCTTAAGACTTCCTGTACAGTAGCGAATGGCCAGACAGTGAATAGTATAGGAGCTATTCAAGTACCTATGCGAGTGAGAGACAGGGTGAGGATGAAAGATGTCGTAGTTGTGCCTGAGTTGCCTCATGTCTTGATATTGGGTTCTGATTTTTGGATCAAGATGGGAATAGTACCGGACCTACGACAAAATGAATGGCATTTTACGGATAACCCTGATGATATTAACTGCATAGAGGAACGAGATACAGTTTTAACACCGACCGAAGAAGTCCAGTTGAATAACTTACTGACGGAGTACAAGGTTTTAATGGGAGATGGTCTTGGTTGCACCAACGCTGTGGAGCACAAAATAGTTTCGACCGCACCACGGATACGACAGAGATACTACCGAGTTTCACCAGTCATTCAACAATACATAGACAAGGAAATTGACGAGATGTTGAGACAAGACATTATCGAACCTAGTCAAAGTCCTTGGGCGTCACCTGTAGTCTTGGTGAAGAAGAAGAACACACATAAGTACAGATTCTGTGTAGACTACAGAAAATTGAACTCCGTGACAGAAAGAGCCTCCATTACCGCTGGTCTCAGACACTTTGGATAAGTTGAGTAACGCTAAGTATTTATCTAGCTTAGACATCAACAGTGCTTATTGGCAGGTTCCGATAGAGGAAGCATCTCGTCCCTTAACAGCTTTTATTTGCCGCCGAGGTTTATTCCAGTTCAAGAGGATGCCATTTGGACTTCACAATGCACCAGCGACATGGCAGAGATTGATTGACAACGTTTTTGGAGCCGATCTTGAACCACACGTGTTCCTATATCTGGACGATGTTGTCATTGTGAGTGAGATATTTGAGGAACACATGGTTATAGTGAGAGAAGTGTTCAGACGCCTGAACGAGGCTAATATAACCGTTAGTTGGGAGAAATGTCAGTTTTGCCGTCCAGATATGAAGTATTTGGGATATGTAGTGGATCAGCGTGGTTTAAGAGTCGATCCGGATAAGGTCAAAGCCATGTTGGAGTTGCCACAACCGAAGAGTGCAACCGAAGTACGCCGAGTGGTAGGATCATTTTCATGGTATCGAAGATTTGTGCCTGAGTTTTCATCTATTGTAGCACCTATCACAGCACTAACGAAGAAGAATCAGAAGTTTGTGTGGACAGATGAGTGCGAGAAGTCTTTTATGAAGATAAAAGAACTGTTAGTAGCTGCACCGATTTTGAGCTGTCCTGATTATACCAAGGAATTTGTTCTGCAAACAGATGCATCTGGGTATGGTATAGCCGCCGTACTCACACAGCCATCACCTGAAGGAGAGAAAGTAATCTGTTACCTGAGCCGATCACTGACAAAGCAAGAGAGAGTGTACTCCACAACCGAGAGAGAATGTTTAGCATTAGTATATGCGATAGAGAAGCTACGACCATACTTGGAAGCTGTACCATTCACCGTCATAACTGATCATTTTAGCTTGAAATGGCTACACACTCTTAAAGAACCGAGTGGTAGGTTAGCACGGTGGGCAGTCAAGCTACAGCAGTATGACTTCAAGGTCATACATCGTAGTGGAAAAGACCTGGTCGTGCCAGACATGCTTTCTGGAGCAGTACCGGTGATTGACGCCATAGAACCATCCAGAGACGATTCAACCCGTCCAAACGTCAAAGATAAATGGTACAATCAGATGGTAGCAAATGTATGTCAAGAACCATTGAAGTTTGTCAAGTGGAGGTATACTGATGGGAAGTTATTCAAGTATGTCAAGCAAGACTATCCGACTTTGTCAGGAGATACTTGGAAAGAAGTCGTGCCGAAGGAAAGCAGATTACAGATAATCCGAGATGCTCACGATCCACCGACTTCAGGACATGAAGCCGGAGGAAGTTTTCAAGTACCAAACGTCAAAGATAAATGGTACAATCAGATGGTAGCAAATGTATGTCAAGAACCATTGAAGTTTGTCAAGTGGAGGTATACTGATGGGAAGTTATTCAAGTATGTCAAGCAAGACTATCCGACTTTGTCAGGAGATACTTGGAAAGAAGTCGTGCCGAAGGAAAGCAGATTACAGATAATCCGAGATGCTCACGATCCACCGACTTCAGGACATGAAGCCGGAGGAAGTTTTCAAGTACAATCGAATAGAGTAAGACTGTACAATTTTAGTTTAGATTAGTATAATATAGATTTCATTTGTGTAAACCACCCTGGTTGTATCTAGTGTTAAGTTAGATAAGGGGGTTTGACGTCTTAGTTTTAGTATAGTTAAGAACATTTTCATTTTGCATTCATATCTAGTAATTCGTATCAATTTTAAATTTCTTAACACATTTCATTCATTTCTTGATAAACTTTTAATATTTTAATAAATTGCTTAAATATTTTTACTAGTATTATTTAAAGTCTAGTCTCATAGTTAAGTTAGAGTCACTTAAGTTTAACGAATTACAGTAATATTTGAAGTTCATGGTAGTTGCATTCAACAGTTCGAGGTTAGTGTTGAAGTCTACTTAATAGTAACATCTTTTATGCCGAGTCCATAGAATATAATCTCGTGGCGCCCTTTTATTAATATCTTTGAACCCCGACGACCCGGCTGTTAAAAATTAAAAAGCTAGTGGCCTCTATGTAACTCATTCAGATTAAGTAAACTTTGTGTTTTATTGAACTTCAAATTAGAAAGGGCGTGGCATGGTATATTCTCCAATGAAGTTTTAAACAGAAGTCTTTCATCATATAAGTTCTCCTACTCCGGCCTAGAAACGGATCTTTTATTACAAGTAATAATATAAACAGATATAATAAAACGCACCTTGCTAAGTTAACAGTAATGCCGCGTCGCCAGCGGGTTTTCATGCCTTGCCAGATTCTCCCTGGCAGCAGCTTTAACTACCTAGCTCTTTCCAAATAAGATTGTTTGTCGAGCAAATATTTTAAAATAATGTTATCCTTGTCTGGTATAGGCCGGCATTTTTGGCCAACATGAACCGCTGCGCTGTACGAAAACAGTAACAAGTAACAAATAAATAGAATGTCTAGAGAATCTAAATTTATAAGAGTGAATATTATATTAATATTGCTGTATCCCGTGACTATGAATACTATAACGGAAGCGACCACGAAGCGACTAGTTTGTATCTGAAAAAAAAAATTATAGATAAAGAAATAAAAAAGATTTTTTCCTAGCTGTGTTTTAGAAATTGGCTCAAAAATTGATAATTATTCTTCTTATGCTTAAAACCCTGTGTATTCTTCTGAAATAATCAATCTTAATAATTCTGAAAATTATCAAAATCAAAGTATTTCACAGAAGCACAATTTTGCCTCAAAATGATATTAAAACCTCAGACGGTAGCTTATTAAATAATTTAATGCACATATGTATATGAAGGACATTTTTCTGTTAATGACAGTCTATGCCATAAATAGTCCATATCCAGTATTCTAGTTCCATATTTGTGGATTTTGGCTGTTTGAAAATACTCTTGGTGTTTAAAAAGAAACATAAGGCACTTATGTACACAGCATACACTGTCATGATTCCCATTCTCCTGAAAGTGTTCCTACAACTTTTAGTATTTTTCATTTTTTAAATTATTCTATTGACTCGTTTCTGACTAAAAAAGACATTCGGGATACAGAATGTCTCTTTTAGTCAGAAACTCTCTGTCCCAAAAAATGATACCATACCTTAAGATGAATTCAAAGTTGACAAAATACAGAATTGTCAAAGTTTTTAAATGCATATACCTGCCAACAACCCTTATACAATAGCAGACAGAATTAAGTTTTTATGTCTAGTAATAAGAGTCGCATCATCTGCGTATTTCACAATAGCCTGATTTGCCGTACTGGTTACCATATTAAGGTCATTGACAAATATGATAAATAACAGTGGTCCCAAAATACTTCCCTGTGCTATGCTGATGTTTGTGGGCAACTGTGTCGATCGAAAGATTTCTCTGTCTTTCATAATTACCACCATCTGAGATCTATCAAACAAGAATGATGCCAGCCTGTTTTTTGCGGAACCCCTTATACCATATGGTTCTAATTTTCTTATAAGTATCTATTTTCTTCATTTGTTTTTGATGCAGCAGTGTTTTTTTGTTCGTCTCTAACGCAGTTTTAATAAGACGTATCTCTTCGCGAGTAAGAGCATACTCCGGCCTACCAACGAATCTTTTATTACAAGTAATGATATAAAAAGATATAGTAAAACACACATTGCCAAAATTGATTTCAAAGTTTTTCTTTTAATACTATTACCCCCAGAACTCATCGTTAAACTTAGGATATTTACTTTATTTTTTATTGCACACACAGACTTAGCGATGTCATACTTTCTTGTGAGGTGAGTAACACTCTTTCCATTTTTTAAACTTTTTATAATGTCGCTCTTTTCAGACAACGTCAACACTTTTCTTTTCATATTTTCCTTTTCTAGCAAAAAATATCTTAACCGTCAGTAACACACGCCTAGTTCGTCGTAATAGCAATGAAAATTGAATTCTAATAAAACAACTGATGATAATAAAGCTGGGAATATACCCGACAAGCCGGAGAATTACCGAAAAAGTTGTTCACTTAATCGAGGTTGCCGCCGTTCACTTTATAGAACCTGTAATGTTACGTTTCTACTGTTCATTGTAATAAATAGTTCATATAAAAGGATGTTCACACAACCGAGCGTCTACTGTAGTTATTGTAATATTTGGCAGACTTCACATGTTAACACAATACGTAACGGTACGAGCATTGGTATCTCGGTAACCGTAATAGATACGAACATCGTTAAAATGGGGCAAAGTTGCGCTTTGGTATGTTCACCAAGATGCCATTAAAAACGTTTTAAAAATTTTAAGGATTGATGAGTTTTTTGGGAAAACGGATTTTTTTAAAAATCAATTTTATTTTTGATAGTATTTTTAGATTTGCAAATTAGCTGATAATTTGTGAGATACAGAGGCCAACTTAATTCTTTAAATACGGACCTGCATTTTTTATTTCCGGTTTTGAAAGAACTCGATCTCCTGAGTACAATGATATGTCACACTTAATATTTTTATGTTTCAGACATTTGAACACAATTTGGCTCTCATTAACCCTTGGACCCTTCAAATGGTAGAGCAGTATAATGACCACCGAGGTTCCTGGACCTATCTCCAAGGGGCGGCGGGGTGTGGGGGCATTACCTGACGTCATTTGTAAAAGTGCAATCAATACATTTCAACATTTACAATAAAGAGTACAAAATGCATTCGGAAGAATAAGAAGAATAAGAGCTATAAATAAAATTGAACGAAAAATAAATTTGTGCAATAGGGAGAAAGAATAGAGCATTAGAGACTAGTTTGTAGAAGTTGATTTATTTATAATAACTACTATCAAATATTATGCAGATCGTATACTGAGATTTCAAATTCACAATAAAAAAAACTTAAAAATAATATCTATTGATTAACTAATGACTAAGTAATTGCTAAGCAGGATATTATTTATTTAAATCTTATAATTGACTCGATTTTCCTTATTCAATGTTAATTAGCTCTTAATGTGCACTGAGTTTAGTTTGATGAATTATTTTTTTTAATTTTCTAAAAAGTAAAGACAGGAATAAATAAAATTGATTTTCAAAAAAATCCGTTTTTTTCCAAAACACTCAGCAATCCTTGAAATTTTTAAAACTTTTTTGATGGCATCTTGGTGAACATCCCAAGGAGCAACTTTGTCCCTATTTAACCATCTTCGTATCTATTGCGGTTTCCGAGATACCAATGCTCGTACCTCAAATTTGTAGCACCCAGTATAATAAAATCAAACTAGCTAGTACAAAAAGTCGATTTATTTACAAAATTAGTATAAAAATATTATCTAAATATTTTTGTCACATCTTTACTATCTTTTCATTTAAAGGAATTTCTTCTGGAAAGTCTTTTTTAATAATATCAGAAGGCAAACAAAAATTAAACATTAAACATGCAGCCCAAATGGTTAGGAATATTCCTATTACAATTAAAAAGAATGAAGAATATCGTAAATAGTCCGGTAATCCTTGAATTACTCTTAGTTTAATAGCTAAATCGTCGTTCAGTTCAACTGTTTGACTAAAATAGAATATTGGCATGTAAATCTTTGGCATATTTCTATATAAACTGAAATAAAAAAATAATAATTAGTTATATCTTAAAAATTAAATGAGATCAGTTAATATTACCTAAGTCCTTGTATAGGCTGAAGCAACATATTCAGTTGCATATTTGCAGAAAGTTCCATAATGATGCCGGAATTCTGTAAACAAGTAGGTAATTTTCATTTATTAAATTTACATACTAAGGGCTGGCAAAGGTAAGTCTTGGGTCGAGATTTCCGTATGTAAGAAGAGTACAATGCGTTTATAATGTACTGAACAAAGAGAGGACAATAAACACGTTGCCAAACGTATGAAATAAATCGAGAAACTGTGCACATCGCTAAGAGACGTGGAAGGGGATATAGCAGATTTGTCGCAGTTGACCGGTCGACTCAATCAATAACTCTCTCAGTACTTAAAGTTCTAGGGAAAGGTGTACGTCATGCGTTCAGCTTCACGATTTAATTACGTCTCGTGATACTTCATTTGTTTATTTATTAATGACTCGTTGTAATTTTCCCTCTAGCTTGTATTTTTTTAATTGCAAGCTAGAAACACTTGCATTTTTGGTAAAAATAAGTGGAATTGAGGGGGTGTTCGATAGTGGTCGCGCTATTAGAACTATGAATTCAAAAATCGATATCTCGAAATCTATTAAAAATAATAGATTGTAGTTTTTTCAAGAACTTTGTTAATACTTCTGCTGTATTTTCTTTGTAGACAGTATGTGAAAATCTTTATCAATAAAAAAATTACACGATTGCTGAAAATTACCTTCTATGCTCTAAAAGTAAATGGATGGATTGTTTATAATTTTTGAATGGAAAAAACAACCTTATCGAATTTTTCTTATGTAAACATATAGTAAAATATCCGATCTTGAAAATAAAAAAAAAGTTTCAATATCTAAAGTGGTTCTTGAGTGGCCTGTTATATTTTAAAAATCAATTTTATTTTTGATAGTATTTTTAGATTTGCAAATTAGCTGATAATTTGTGAGATACAGAGGCCAACTTAATTTATTAAATACGGACCTGCATTTTTTATTTCCGGTTTTGAAAGAACTCGATCTCCTGAGTACAATACTACTGAGTACATACTGAGTACATATGTCACACAATATTTTTTTAATATTTTTTATGTTTCAGACATTTGAACACAATTTGGCTCTCATTAACCCTTGGATCCTTCAAATGGTAGAGCAGTATAATGACCAGCGAGGTTCCTGGACCTGTCTCCAAGGGGTGGCGGGGTGTGGGGGTATTACCTGACGTCATTTGTAAAAGTGCAATCAATACATTTCAACATTTACAATAAAGAGTACAAAATGCATTCGGAAGAATAAGAAGAAAAAGAGCTATAAATAAAATTGAACGAAAAATAAATTTGTGCAGTAGGGAGAAAGAATAGAGCATTAGAGACTAGTTTGTAGAAGTTGATTTATTTATAATAACTACGATCAAATATTATGCACATCGTATACTGAGATTTCAAATTCACAATAAAAAAAACTTAAAAATAATATCTATTGATTAACTAATGACTAAGTAATTGCTAAGCAGGATATTATTTATTTAAATCTTTTAATTGACTCGATTTTCCTTATTCAATGTTAATTAGCTCTTAATGTGCACTGAGTTTAGTTTGATGAATTATTTTTTTTAATTTTCTAAAAAGTAAAGACAGGAATAAATAAAATTGATTTTCAAAAAAATCCGTTTTTTCCAAAACACTCAGCAATCCTTGAAATTTTAAAAAAAATTTTTGATGGCATCTTGGTGAACATCCCAAGGAGCAGCTTTGTCCCTATTTAACCATCTTCGTAACGAGACAATCAGGGACAAAATGGATAGACAGAAAACTATAGTAGAGGAAGTAGAGATTGTCCTACTTAAGTGGTATGGACATGTGAGAAGGATAGACAACACGCAAAAGGTACTAAACTGGCTTCCACAAAAGAGAAGGAAACGGGGAAGACCAAGGACAAACTGGAGAATGTCAAGAAGGCGATGAGCTCAAGGATCTGCGTGACGGAGACTGGAATGAACGAAACCAATGGCGACTAGCCATCGCACAACGCCAAAGGACGTTTTAAAAGCGATTTTTATACAGGGAGGCCTATCGAAAACGTTCCGCAAGGCATAACAGCCAGGGTATTTTTTTTCAAAAAATCCAAAAACACGTCAATTTTGTTTGTGAGGGGGACAACTTTTGGCCCAAAAATGATTGCAAAATCTTCAACCCTCTAAGCGGGGGTGTCATCCCCAACTTTTTTTAAATGGGAAGGGGGTCAATTGGCGCCGCAATGAAAAGGGCTTTTTATTCTCTATATTTCCCCGCTTCGTTTTTAAAAATCGATCGAGTCATTTTGAAAATATGAAGGATTGAAATTTGAAAAGTACTTTTTGCAAAAAAACGCATAAATTGAATTAATTAAAAAGAACTTAACTTATTAATGAAGCAAATGCTGAAAATGTTGCCCGTCAACCTCCATACAGTAATACAAATTATTTACAAACCGAATATTCTGAAGAACTTGCGGGATCACTTCGCGACAAACATCAATAATTCGTCTTCGCAGGTCTTCTAATGAGGCGGGTGGAGTGCTATATACTTTACTTTTTATGTCTCCCCATAGAAAAAAGTTTAAAGGAGTCAAGTCGGGTGACCGGGGAGGCCACTCAATTGCACCCCTTCGTCCTATGCACCGACCGGGAAAGTTATTGTTCAAAAATTACGCACATTTTGAGAGCAATGTGGAGGTGCACCGTCTTGTTGAAATATTAGTTCCGCTTCAACGTATCCAGGATTGTTCTCTATGATGTCAGTTAGAGCTGGGTCGATGGTATTTTCCAGTAAATCCAAGTACATATCATGTGTTAGATTTTCAGGAAGAAAAAAAGGACCCAAAATAGAATTTCCAAAATACCAACCCACACGTTCAATTTCTGAGGGTTTTGTGTGTGCACCTCGTGAAAAACCCTGGGGTTGTCCTCAGCCCAGTACCGACAGTTGTGCCGATTAACTACACCGTTCAAGAAGAAATTACACTCATCCGAAAAACACACATTAAATAGGAAATTATTATCATTGGCCACTCGTTCACTCATAGTTTCACATAATTGCAAGCGACGATCAAAATCGTCTTCGTTGAGTTCTTGTACCAACTGAATTTTGTACGGATGGAAGTTGTGTTTTTTAATATCCTTTGGACACTTACGTACGTTTCACGCCGGTCTCATTGACTAATTTTCTTGTACTCAGCGTACTATCCATGGCAACTTGGCCCAATACCAATACCTCCATAGCTTCATTTACTACAGGATTTTCCCTCTGCCTCTTTTTATTCATAACGAAACCAGTTTTTTGCTACTAACTCGCGAACAATTTTGCCATAAACCTGTTTGTCAGAATGGCGTTTATTAATATCTGCGCAACCCGATTGCCACATTCATTATTTTTAAAATTAAGTTCGACTATTTCCACTTTTTCTGCAAGTGAGTACACCATAACTGTTAAAAAGTTTAACGATATTGAGAAGAACTTCAACGCACAAGGCACAGAACAGCTATCTAGCAACTACCCCACCTGATCGTTCAACCTTGTGGCAAGTGAAAAAATACGTAAACATCTAGAAATAATAAGATTAATCTGATAAATGTTTAAATAAACTTTTCAAATTTCAATCCTTCATATTTTCTCAATGACTCGACCGATTTTCAAAAACGTAGCGGGAAAGTATAGAGAATAGAAAGCCCTTTTTATTGCGGTACCACTTGACCCCTTTTCATTTGAAAAAAATTGGGGGATGACACCCCCGCTTAGAGGGTTGAAGATTTTCCAATCATTTTTGGGGCAAAAGTTGTCCCCCTCACAAACAAAATTGACGTGTATTTGAATGTTCTGAAAAAAAAATTACCCTGGCCGTTATGCCTTGCGGAACGTTTTCGATGGGCCCCCCTGTATATAGTCGTCTTCTTATAGTCCGTTAGTTAATATGTACGTTCCTTAGGTGCAATTCATTATAAATTTAAAAAGCTGGCAAACGGCGGTTTCTTAGCGATAAACTTACAACAAGTCGATCGTCTCGATTAGAAGGTCTCATACGAAGGTTCCTGGACGTCTAGGTTGACGTCCCCATGGACGTGGTTATAATTAAAAAACCACTTAGTATACTTTATGGTATTAAGGTATTTTTGGAACCGGAGTTTTATAGAAAATTCACTGAACTAAACAAATATAAAGCATATCATTTGGAAAACTAAAACTTGAGAGTTGAGATTAAAAATATATTTGACTTAGTACATCTATAAAAAGATTTTTGAAATGTGAGTTACCATTAAACACATATTTTGTAAAAGGTTTGGAGTGAAAATCTTAAATAGAAATCCTGATACAGAGCTTTTTCAGAACACGGAGCCATCTTGTATGTATGCATTTGTATATGTGTGTTTATTTAAATATTAAAGTGAATGCAACGAATTTAAATGGGTAAACTTTGTAATATATCTTATTAACAATACAATGCAAAAAGTTTTATAAAAATTCGTTCACAGTAAATGAATTCCGAGGTTTGTATCCCATAAGGGCTTAAAGCACTCCACTAATCCTCATTTTAAGCAAAACTGATACAATTAAAGATTTTCGTAAATTTAAACGCAGTATTCCATTTTCTCTAGAAATATATTTGTTGTACGAGTAAGTTAGCAATTTTAGTTTGATGAACTTATAAGTTTCCATTTAAAAATGGTATTACTCCCGATTAGAGCAGGCAATTTTTATTTTAATATTATCTTAATTTTGAAATAAGATTATGGAATCTTAATATTAAATATTGATTTGTTCAATTTGAAACTCTAATTAATTTTGGTTTAAAACTGTTGTATGTTGTATGTATCGTTGTCGTAGTTAGTGTAGTTGTTTATATAAAATTAGAGTGAAAATTTAAAATACAAAATTTGATATGCAACTTTTTTGGACTACTGGGTTGTACTGTATTCTAGATGAACACTGGCAATAATTTTGTATGGTTGTTTTATTTTGAAATAGCCTTGTTTTACTTTGAAATAGCCCTTATTCTGGTATTCAGTGTGGCGGAGTAGTGTGCACCAGTGTGGTTGAACAGTCACCACACAAATCTCATAGACAGACAGCTGAA